ATATACTTAGACCCCAAAGTACCCAATGGGAACTACATTAAGGCCAATGTATATACTATATGAGTACATGGACCCTCAGGGAAGGGCATATCCCTACTCAAGAGGTAGTAAAGGGGTATTGGAGGTGCGAAGGTGTGAGTAGCACACGGCTGTGGTCACGTTGTAGGACTGAAACAATGAGGGGGGTTCCCAGATTGGGATTAGGACACGGGTGCCCATTCAGCCTCCAGATTTGTCTGCGAAACAGTAACTGCACAACCGCGAGCTGTAAGCCTAAACCCTAAACCGTGATGAGAAAGTTCCTGGCCAGACTTCGCAGGCTCCGCCCGATGACATTTTGGGTCTAGCGTGGTTGCCTCTTCGCAACGTCCCATCTTCCCTTCAGAAACACAAAGCACATACCAGCTTCGCATATATATATATATATATGGGAGGATATCTACACACATACTTAAGTTCACGCATCCATACACCAACACAATCAGATAGATAGATAGATGGATAGATAGATGACAGATAGGTAGGTAGGTAGGTAGGTAGGTAGGTAGGTAGGTAGGTAGGTAGGTAGGTAGGTAGGTGTAGAAAGATAGACAGATAGATAGATAGATACGTATGTAGATAGATAGGTAGATAGATAGACAGATAGATAGACAGGTAGATAGATAGTCAGAAAGATAGATAGGTAGATAGATAGACAGACCGATAGATAGATAGATAGCTAGATAGATAGATAGATAGGTACATAGATAGATCGACAGACAGATATGTATACGCACATACATAAGTACATACATACATACATACATACATACATACATACATACATACATACATACATACCTACTTACATACCTACTTACATACATACATACATACATACATACATACATACATACATACATAGATACATGTATGTATACTTACATACATACATACATACATACATACATACATACATATGTACACACACAGGCCTTCACAACCACCTGCATACCTGCGTTCGTATATGTGATACGGAGGCGGCGGCACAGCATATAAGAGGCATAACAGGCGGTCTCTAATTGAAAATACATACTCTTGTAAGCATGCGCACTTGCGCAGTGGTGGTACAGAAACTCCGAACCTGTACATGTGTCATCTATCTGACGATCTGCCTACCTCTCATATCAGCTCCCGGCGTCGCAAGCATGCAAAACCCTGGAATGGCAGTAACGGCTAATTTCTAGAATCTAAAGAAAATGCTACCGATACCGCAAGGCTTTCCAGGAGCCTTCTTCCTTGAGCGAGACTCACATATGATCCTTGTGGTTTTGAATGTCAGTACGGCTGCGCTTTGCTGCTGCATTGCGAAGAAGAACACGTAATTAAACTCTGCCATAAAGACTGCCATATACATGTATGTTGAGGCTGCAGTTTTTCCGTGAACACTTCTCCTGGCCCTCGCTGACCAAAGTCAGTCCCAGCTTCTTGCCCGCTTTCTCAATGTTGATGACCCACTGGCAAAGTTTCGCGGCTCGGAGCTTGAGCGATACACTATAGTATATAATTGTACATCTATAATATCATTTATGGTATATAGGTGATAATGGGTAGTAGAACTGATGCAGGGGCTTCGAGGTTTGGGTGTGTATGGAGACGAAAAGTGGAGACGGCACCCCTGCACCCCCAACAGCCGACATGTGAGTGACAGCACCAAGCTGGCTTTCTCATTACCAGACAACAAACCGGATGTTGACGCATATTTCAGCATATTGTCGTATACTCTAGCATATCATAGAATATTAGTACATTATGATAAGCTAAATAACAGAGTGCAGTTGGCCTCCTTTGGTGGGTCTGCGAAAGGACCCTGTGGAATGTCAGCACCTCAGCCACGACGGCTCCGAGTCGGAAGGCTCAGGATGGTGGCACCTGTATACTACCGTTGATGAACCCTAAACCCTAAACCCTAAACCCTAAACCCTAAACCCTAAACCGATATAAATCCTGTATTACAGGTTTAGGGTTTAGGGTTTAGGGTATAAACCCTGTACTACCTTAAGGACCCTAAACTACGGAATTATTGTATATTCCTTATTATGGGTATATAAATCCTGTATTACCTTAAGGACCCTAAACTATGGGAATTTCTGTATATTCCTTATTCTGGGCAATGCAGGATTTATATCATCGACCGTATGTTTGACCTATAGTCTCCATTGAATATAGGTCCTTTTGCGGGTTTACTTTTAGGATCCTCGACATGAAACTGGCTAAACCAGAAAAGAGGAACTACAATGGAGACTCCAGGTACTATAGATGTACATGACAATACTACAATATACGATACTGCACTACATGTTCTAGCGGATTTGCAGTGATATGCTAGGCTGTACCATAATAGTAGGGGTTTGCGGGGGAGTTCCGGGATCCCTCTCAGGCTTAGATTCAAATGCCGCTTCTCGACGTGTTCGTCGCTCTCTCCTCGTGGCTTAAGCATGCCGTGAGAGTTCACGCTCCGATTCATGACAATAGTGCTCATGAATATGAAGTCCGCCACTCCCACTCCCACTGCGACTGCCGAGTGCGAATACGGCCGGGTAGCAGGAACTGAGAAGCACAGATCCCAACAAGGTCCGACATGACTTGGAGGAAGCTTCGTACAACAGAGGCGGAGGGGAGGGGGGAAGGGAGCCGCAGACTCGGACGTCAGACGGGAACTACAGAGAGTTCTGCCCGCTCATGAGCATTCCGACTCTCTATCTTCTTTGAAATACCAAATGCACGGAAATATCCCCAGGGAATCCTAAACCCTAAACCCTAAAGCCTAAACCCTGAAGGTGACTTCTCGTCGATTGCCAGAGGGCGCTTGCGGATCTCTTCTAGGGAGTAGTCCTGCAGCGACAAACTGTTGCGACTACATGCGAAAGATGGAAGGCTGAGGTGTGGAACACACCATTACCATTATCATTATTATGACTACTACTAGTATCATGATGATTATGATTACTACTAGTACTAGTGATATTCTTATTAGTGTGAGTATTGGTATACATACCAAAGATTGTAATCTGTAATACTATTAAAAAGTTATTATCCATTATTAGATGCCCGTTCCGGCCACAGATACGATTGGCGATTTTTGACAGAAGTTGATACCTTTCGCATCCTGTTGTCGCTAAGGCGACGCAGGCCTGCGATAGTTCGTTGCTGGACTTTATTACTATCGTACCATCAGTGATGCAAACACTTATTTCTCGCGGTTCGTTGCCAGTTCCTTAGTTCTGTTTCTATGAACCCCAATGTTCAGCAATGGTTCAACAATCAACAATATTAGCGGTACCACTGCCAACGCAACAATATCACCCCCCCACCACCACCACCAGCATCATCATCAGAGGCATCGTCGTCGCTCAGATCGTCAACATCACGGCAAGCATCGTTGAGATCACCATGACTGCCCTCACCGTGATCACCAGAATCATCATCAGCAACACCCTCAAGACCAACGCTCTCAACACAGCCATCGAAGCAACGCTTTTCACTGTCATCTTCACCGATGGCTTGACCAGGCATTCCCAGCCCGGTGATTCTTACAGCTGCTGTGCTGGATGCCAGTATCATCCCCGCCGTGAGCCGGATGACGGTCCACAAAGAGTATCAAGTTGATCGTTGCATGCTCGTTGGTCCACTTGTAGGCCATTTCATCCCACTAATGCCTGTTTTCTTATGTGTGTATACAATATATATATATATGTACACATGCATATATATATATATATATATGTATGTACGTGTATATATATATATATACATACATACATACATATACGTGTCCATGCCTTCAGTTGTTTGAATGGTTCAGTTACGTATATTTCTATACATATTAGATGCTTACACACACACAGAGGTACTGTGATGTGCGTACAATGATTTACCGTCTTCGATTGCAGGTCTGCGCGTGCAGCACCTCCAACTTTGGATATGCAGCTCAAGCATGCCTGCCTTCAGCAAGCGGCCATCGCGGAAAACCTGAGCACAGCGAGCCGGCAATGCTTAATTATGACAATACGACAGACGCAACAAGTAAAGTCCGTGATGCGATTGTTTGTAAAGCGATCGTCATATTTCGCAACAGCAGCGCCTCCACCATCAAGTCCTTCGAAGCATCTCCCATGCCGCTGGCTACAGTGACCTCAAACGACAGCAGGACGATCAGCGGGCGCGTGGCAGGAAGAACCGTAAACGAAACCATGCCGGGACAATATGCGCGTAGATGCGAACGAAGCCCCCAGTAAAAGAGCGTCACTAAAAGCCGAAACGTCTCCCCAGCTCCACGACGACGCAGGAAGAGGGTTCGGAGTTTAAGGTTTTCAGTGTCTAGAGTATACATTTTAGGTGTGATAGGGGCCTTAATGATAAGACTAGGATTGTGGGGTAACTTATCATATTTAATATAACTACAATAGGCCTATAAGGGGATAGCATTTCCATGTCTTCCGACACCTATAGTAAGCCCGGCACGATCTTTCCGTCCGTGCTGTAGTGAAGGAAGCCGGTGCCGCCTGCCACTCCCTTGTCTCCCTGGCCTGTGCGGGGCAAAGAGCATTTACGGTTTATATAGGGTTTAGAGTTTAGGGTTTAAGGTTTAGGGTTTAGGGTTTAGGGTTTAAGGTTTACAGGGTTTAGGGTTTAGGGTTTGGGGAAGGTTCTCCAACAGGATTTGCTCACACGGGTCCGATACGGGCTGCTATAAGGATTGCCACAAGGGCTTTTCATTGTAACTAGAACAAGGTTCTCCAACAGGATTCGCTCAAACGCGTCCGATAAGGGCGATTATAAGGATTACCACAAGGTCTCAATCGTTAGAATAGACTCTTGGACACATTACAGTGTAATCTGCTCCGTAACGAGATCTAACGAGAAACCCTGATGCATACTAGTAGTTACTAATTATATTCAGGCTCCGAAAATCATTATGGATGAGAAAAGCGTGTGCATGGTTTCAGCTTTCGAAGCAGAACCTCAACCCAAGATCCTGAACTCCATACCCATAGGCCCCATAGTAGTTCCTTTTTGGGATTACCTTTTAGGATTCTAAACATGTACCCCAAGAAGGAATTACTATGGGGATTATGGGTAACCTCTATAACCCTAAATGCCCTAAACCTTCGCGAACTTTCGATCCAGGGCGGTGCGTAATCCCATCAAGGCTTGGTAGGAAATCGGGGGGCTTAAAGAATCTTGCAGTATCTGTCACGGGCCGACACGTGAGAGGGTTTCGGAATATACGGAGTCCCGTTTTGAGAATATTGAGGGGTCTCTCTCTGCAATAGCAGGGTCCCGCTTTTTCTGGACCTCCCGGTGGTAATCTTTAGCATCAAGAGATCCTCTACCTCAACGCCCTCGTTCTCAACCGGCTCTGTGTCGTTGTTTTGTCAGGGTTGCAATGTGTCCCCAAACCCTAAACCTAAAACTCCAAACCCTAAACCCTGAACCCTAAACCCTAAAACCCTAAACCCTAAACCCTAAACCCTGAATCCTAGACCCTAAAACCCTAAACCCCAAAGATTCTGCCATTTGACTGCAGCCTGCTTGCTTCAGAGAGGCAGACTTGCACGACGAGTCCGACGAGCAGAACTGCTTACTTTAGGGCTTTAATAATTAGAATAGGGTCTTAAGGGCTCCGCATTATAATTCTGGTATCACATGCCCCAAACCATATTCTAATTATAAAGGCCCCTGTATTACTGTATGAGTCCTACTATCCGGAATGTGACCATGCTCATGACGATGATCTGTGCTGCTAGACTGCTAGCAGCTTTGTGACTGTTGCCTTGTTCTCCTGGCCGCAGCCCGGAAAAAACGCTCCCTGCTTTCAGGAAGCCTAAAGCCTAAAGCCTAAACCCTAAACCCCTAAACCTTGCAGGATCCTTGGCACAATGATCCCTATTAGACCTCTTATAAGGGGAACCCACATGTCCCAAAACTTCGAGTGAAGGTCACCTGCTTTCAGGCGAGACGCGTGGCTTGTACTTGTCGGCATCCTTGAAGCCTGTAGTCTCGGAGGCCAACCTGAGACACCAGGCTTTTCGTTTAGGGGGGTCTAGGGGGGTTAGGGGTTAGGGTTTAGGGTTTAGGGTTTAGGGTTTAGGGATTAGGGTTTAGGTTTAGGGTTACTTGAAGGATCATGGGACTTAGTAAGTAGGGTTATAACTAAGGTAACCATACTTACAGTTACTTGTAACCCCACTTAAGGGGCTTATAACCCTACTTACTAAGTCCCATGATCCTCCAAGTAAGCGTATGGAGGACGTCGACAGTGCCGGCGCTGGACTTCGGACACGAGCTTTCGACACTGAGACTGGAAAGCTCACCATCGGTGATGACGATCATGATAGTACTTGGAACGAGGAAAGTAGGGGCGATGATGAAGATGAGGATGACTGTGATGACGATGATGATGCCAATGACGATGCCTTCGTGGCACGAGCTGTGACGGAAACGTTGAGTCTGGAAGGTTTCGTCAACCTTAGGATAGCGGTGGACATGCGGTGCCGTAGCCAGAAGAGCATGTAGGCTTCCCCTACTTGGAGGTTCATGGCTAGTTATAAGTAGGGTTATAAGTCCCCTAACATGGGTTATAACTATAGAGACCTTCAACCCTAAACCAGCTACCGCCAGATGGATGTGGGCCCAGAGCCAAGCGGGATCTGCACGTTCTGCGTTAATCTAGGTGGAGATGTTGGAACCCTCAGGGTCCATGTACCCAAATACCTACTATATGGGCACCTAGGGGCTCTAGTACCCTATATAGTACCCAAAGGGTCCATGTACCCAAATAGTATATACTTTGGCCTTAATGTAGTCCCTATATAGGTACTTTAGGGCCAATCTATACACTATTTGGGTACCTGGACTCTTAGGGGAATTGCTACCAGCGGGAGCTACAGCAAGCACTGGGGCTCCGGATCATGATGCAACGCCTTGTACAAGCCGCAGAAACACAGACTTGTTCGCGCTGGTGCCGGCAGTCCCGAAATTGACTCTACCTTAAACCCTATATAAGCCCAATGCCTTACTACAGTAAGCTCCCTACTTGGAGGATCATGGGACTTAGTAAGTAAGGTTATAACTCCCTTAATTGGGGTTATAAGTAGATATATGTACAGTTACCTTAATTATAACCCGACTAACTAAGTCCCATGATCCCGTAAGTACATGCTTCAACCCTATAAGTATGGTTACCTAAATTATAACCCTACTAACTAAGTCCCATGATCCTTTAAGTACATGCTTCAACCCTCTAAGCCCGAGTTGCTGCACGGTGAGTCGGCCCTTCTTCGAAGCCTTGCCCTTGTCGGTGATCGGATCCTCCCGTGTCTTTAAATTCGTGGTTTAGGGTTTAGGGAGTTTAGGGGTTTTGTGACCCTAAACCCTAAACCCTAAACGTATAGGGACTTTAGGATGATCACGGTTTAAGGTTCAGGGTCTGGGGGCCTTCAGGGCTAGGGTTCAGGCTGTAGCGTTAGCGAGGTTAGTACCCGTCGAGTGGTGGGGCTTAGGCTTTGGGTTTGCGGGTGTCGGCTTTGGGAATTCAAGGTTTAGAGTCTGTAGGGGCTTACACAGTCGCCTGGGCTTTGGGGATTACTTGCATTGCAAGGATTATGGGGTTTTGGTTGTGGGGTTTTCGGAGCCGAAAGGCCTGTGGGCTTGGGGTTTGGGGCTGTGGTGGTTTAGGATCTCGGGTCTAAGAAATCATGCAGAGCTTTCATCGGATTGTCTGGGCTTAGTATTGGGCTCCATAGGTATCGCCACCGGTCATTAGTCTTCAGGGGCTTGCAGCTTCTGTTGGGTGGAAAATGCTGGGTTTGTTTAGCACTTCGGGTCTTGTGGTGTTTGTTGGACCTGGCCATCGAGCAATGGGGTTTGGAAGACTGAGGGCGTAGGATGGCCTTTGAGTTTCAAAGAATAAGGCTCCGAGTCTACCCTAAACCCTACTTGGAGGATCATGACTCTTAATAAGTAAGGTTACAAGTCCCTTAATTGGGGTTATGAGTAAATATAAGTACAGTTACCTTCATTATAGCCCTACTTGCTTAAGTCCCATGATCCTTTGAGTAGTTGGAGTGTAGTTTCAGGCCGGAGCTCGGACCAAGGACCCTCAGTCTCAGGGTTACGCGCTACCGTGGATGAAGGTGGTTTTGTGGGGAGTCTGCATTTGACGTTGCAGAAAGGCAGGCTGCTCAGATTCACGAGGTCTTACTTGGATGTTCATGGGTAGTTATAAGTCCCCTAATGCGGGTTATAATTATAAGTACCCTACGTATAACCCAACTTATAACTACCCATGAACCTCCAAGTACCTTCTGTTTATTGATTCCACCGAAGCATGAAGAACCCGGGCTCGAGCTGCGGAGGCATCGAGTTCTGGACCTGACCCAACTGCCCCAAACCTGGCATTTCATCCTCTTCCGTTACCCTAAGGGTCCATGTACCCAAATAGTAGATACTTTGGCCCCAAAGTACCCAAATAGGAACTAAGTCAAGGCCAAAGTATATACTATTTAGGTACATGGACCCTTTGGGTTACATTCCCACAGCCGACAAACCACCCCAAAACACGGACTAAAAGCACTGTCCTTGAATACCTCCCTCTTCTCCCCGCTCACCGTGATCTCGGAGCACTTGAATGCGCCTAGGGCTGTCGTAGTGGGAGCAGAAGTCGATGCTGAAGCTTTAGTAATATTCACGGTCACAGTGGCAAAGCCAGTAAGACCACTGCCCTATTCCGGTGAATGTGTCTGCAGAAGAACCGCCACTCTAGCGGTGTTAACGGTGCTACGTATTGGCTCACAGATTATTGCAGTTCTTCCCTTTATGACAACTTTATGACTTGCTATATACAGGTTAGACTTAAACCACACGGTAGCAATGAGATGGCACAAGCTATCGCGCCGGAGCACAGAACCGCATGCAATGCAGCCCAATGCAAAGCGATGCAGCACACAGCGATGTAATGTAACGCGATGCAACATCATGTGAATGAGCCCGCGTGTGTGTATCCCTCCCTACCTGCCCACCTCCATACCTACCTAAGTACCTACCTACCTACCTACCTACCGACCGACCGACCGACCGACCGACCGACCTACCTACCTACCTACCTACCTACCTACCTACCTACCTCCCTACATACATACATACATACATACATACAT